CTGTGTAAAGACTTTGGCTCCATGGCGATTACACTGTATTCGTGTGGTCTGAGCGCCATTCGCTTAATAATGTGCGCTCAGACCTGGGCTATCTGGGGATATGTTAAATGTATAGTTTTTATGTAATGTGTCTCACATAGTGTATTTTAACAGTAATTCATGTTTTAGTATCCCCACGTGCATAATGGCGATTTGCCTTTGTCTTGGGAGATAATTGAATTACTTCTCAATTATCTCCAAGGCAGAGGGGAGGAAGCCAGAATGCATTGTGGGAATATAATGTGACTGTGTGTCCTATTTGTCTACTTGTCTGTCTTTTGTCACAGTCTCCCATTTGGTCCCCTAGGGAAGTGTCCATCAGGTGGGAGACCTGCATAAATACTGGGCAGGTAGCCCTCATTAAACAGACCACTGCTTGACCCTCAACACGGAGCCTAATCTCGTCCTTCGGGGGATATACTGAACGCTGATAGAGACTGATTGCTAGGAGTGTAAGCTGCTTGGGTGCTTTTCCTATTCGTCTGTTAGCAGCGATTCGTATGGTTCCAGTTCGTGTGTTTGGAGTGTTACATTGTATGCTGTTCGAGAGTTTGGAGCATTCCCTTATTTGCGGTTCGGGAATTTGGTGTTCTACAGTAGCTGTACCTGCATCTGTGAAAAGGGGACGATCGCCTAAACGGTTTTTACCCCTTGTGTGCAAAACGGTCCCTTACACTCAAGAAATCAGGCGCTACCCACTAGCCCATTCGAACACATCAAACTATTTATAGACCTATCCTCCGCCACCATGTCCAAACGAAAAACCTTTGCCCCATCACAGCAGCATTGAGACTGGCAAACATACCTTACAAATGGGGCTTCCCAACTAAACTGTTAGTGAAGAGGAACGTCACAGACAGGACCATTCTTTCCCTGGAAAATGGCAAAAAGATGCTGCTAGAATGGAATATCCCGCTTCCAACGCCAGAAAAACCTCCACCTACTGGACACTCTCCGGTCAAACTCAGTAGAGACCGGTCCAAAATCACCCACATCGGACATTCTGAAACAACCTGAACACTGAAAGATGGATAGCTGCCTCTTTTTGCCGCCAACAGCTTCACAGTAATATGATAATTTTTTTACTCTTTCCTTTTTTCGCCTCTCAATCCTACATTCATTGGTATAATGCTTTTCTTTTTATTGTGATCTACTTCAACTAGGTACATTCAAAGATATAACGCTCTTTTATTTCCATTTATGCTGATTGTTAATTAAAAAGGGAACAGGGTCAATCAGCTATACAAGCAATAGATACCAATCCACAAAGGGGTTGTTTATAAAATATCTAACTGACACCTCGGTCGAGGACAACTGTCCCTTTTAACCCAGATACCGTAAAATATCACAGGCCTGAATACTTTCTAGGCCACAACCCCTGGGGTGGCTTTGGGAATAAGCCACACATATTTACACCGTTCTAGTCATTCTAAAAAGCTACAGCTACAACAACAACTCAGAGATCTAGAATTCTCAAAAACTACTTTTATCCTGAGAAAATGAAAACACAAATTCTTTACCTCTGGCAATAGAGCGGGAGCCAAATTGGCCTCACAAAAAAAAAAAAAGGCTATATACCTCCAAAATAGCATACTTGGAAGACTCATAAGGAGTTCGCACATTAGACCCAGATGGCATGGCTAATGAATTTGCTACCTATTACAAATCTTTATATAACCTAAAAGATGACTTGTCCACTGACGTCCCTACAGCCGACGCCATAGAGTCCTTCTTATCTGACCTTTGCCTGCCTACCCTACCCCCTGGAGATATAGCATACCTTACTGCACCCTTTACTATAGAAGACATTTCAAAGACCATATCTTCACTGCACCTCATAAATCACCAGGCCCAGATGGTCTCTCTAACGAGTACTATCGCACGTTCTCCCATACACTCTCTCCACACCTGTTAGCCCTTTTTCAGCACAGTGCCCAACAGGGATCTCTATTCAAAGAACTACTGCTTGCCCACATCTCGACATTACCTAAACCGGGAAAAGTCGCAACCAGTTGCAAAAATTTCAGGCCAATCTCCTTATTAAACTGTGATGCGAAGATTTATGCAAAACTCCTAAGCAATAGACTGGCCCCACTGCTACCGAAACTCATACACAACGACCAAACAGGTTTTGTGAAAGGCAGACAAGGTTCAGACAACACTAGAAAAGTCCTAGACATCCTGGCAGTAATGGGGAGGAAGAATACAGGAGGCCTGTTCCTAGCTTTAGATGCGGAAAAGGCCTTCGATAGGCTAAATTGGCAATATATGCAGGCAGTTCTAGCCAAGTTTCAAATTCCCAAGCAACTTATCACTCAAATTATGGCCCTGTACACTGCCCCAGCCGCAAAAGTCTCCTGTAGCGGCATTCTATCTGACCCATTCATGATCATTAATGGGACCCGGCAGGGCTGCCCCCATACCCCCCTATTGTACATCCTATCACTTGAACCCTTAACCCATAAAATAAGACAATACAAACATATTCAGGGAATACAAGCCCAAGAACAAGACTATCGACTCGCCTTATTTGCGGACGATATATTTATAGAATTATCAGATCCTAAGACGGCCCTACCCCACTTTAACTGTCATTACTGCAGGAATTTGGAAAGATTTCACAATACAAACTAAACCAGGATAAAACGCAAGCCTTACCTGTTAGACTCCCACAAAAAATAGTGCACCAATTATGGGAATCTTACTCCTTTGACTGGAGAACATCCTCCCTTACATACCTGGGAACCAAAATCACCCCCTCCTTGACAGGCATAACTCAACACAATTATACCCCCCTGATCCAGATGTGCAAAAATGACACTCCAAAATTGAAAGCAGCAAACCTTTCATGGTGAGGTAAAATTAACGCTTTTAAGATGATGACTCTCCCTCGCCTGTTATACATATTTCGCATGTTACCAGTTGCAATACCACTCTCATGGTGTAAAACCTTACAAACAGTCTGTCACTCCTTCATATGGGGCGGCAAGAGACCGAGACTCCCACTCACCCTATTACAAAAACCTCCAGCTTTTGGAGGAGTAGGTCTACCAAACATCCGACTATACCTCCAAGCTTCGATATTAACTATGGGCATTACTCTACACACACAGAAAGGGCAGATACAATGGGTAGACCTAGAATGGAAACATCTTAAGAGTCAATCCATAACCGAATATATGTGGATGCCCAAACACCTGCGCCCCCCAGAAAAGGACATGCTCCCTACTACACAACTTACACTACATGAATGGGACAAGTTCATGCACAAACTTGCCTATGGAAAAAAGATTCATCCCAAAGCGCCAATATCGGTGCTTGAACGCATATCCCCAATTGGCTCACTGGCGACATGGAGGATGTTAGGTATCACACAAGTAGGCCATATGTTAAAAGGTCGAGAGATAAAGACCTTCCAAGACCTCCAGCAGGCCTGGAGTCTCACTATACAAGACACCTTTCTCTATTTACAGGTACGAAGCCTCTTACTCGCACATACCCACTCCACTGCCACCCGAACAACCGACCCCCCACCCCTAAACCCACAATTGGTATTACAGAGATGCGTAAATACCCCTACCAAACCAAAAGTATCATCTCTCTGTTATAAAGCAGGACTAGAATTACAGCCCAAGAAACCAGATACTTGTAGGTCCCATTGGGAAAAAGATAGTGATTTAACATTGACAGACGATAAATGGCTCCGTGCCCTCAATCACGTGTCGAAGTGGACTAAGTGCTACACTCATTTAGAAGCACATAGAAAACTTCTTTATCACTGGTATATGACACCCCACAAATTGAGTAAAATATACCCAACATCACCCTCAACATGCTGGAGGTGTATGACGGAGCAAGGGACTCCACTTCATATATGGTGGTCCTTCGATAACATACGTCCACTATGGATGGAGGTACATTCCCTGCTGGAGCAGTTAGGAATCAAAGGGTTCCCAATGTCGGTATCAACCTGTCTTCTACTACTGCTGAATAGAGACATCCACCAGACACACCATCAACTCATAGCTCTCACCATGTTAGCGGCTCGCAATTTGATTGCAACAAACTGGAAATCCCAGGCGTGCCCATCTCCCACTCAACTCAAAGATAAACTCCAACAATGTTATGTTTACAGAACAAAATAGTACAGTAAGGATGCGCCAGGAATAGGTACTAAAATATATGAACTCAATAAAATATAAAATAGAATAAAATTATAGGTAACAATAGTCAAAAACTTATCAAAGTCCGTGATGCGTAATCCCACGTAAAAACAAAAGAAGATTCTTTAAGGTGTAGAGTAGGGTCAAATCTTCATAATGGTATGTACAGGATACAGTGGAACATATGTGGAGAGAAGAAGAAACAGGACTCCAATGGTACAGTATGTAAATACGTAAAAATAAAATAGTAGAATAGGTCTTACTCACAATTTTCAGAGCTGAAGATCCAGCTCTGATATAAAGCACGTGGAGTGGAATAATCCCCACTCAGGGATATATGGAGTAGACTTCAAATGGCAGTTCTCTGGTACACGTGCAACGTCCAAAGTACAGACCCAAAAGAAGAAAATAAAATATATAGTGCTCTCTGTGTTACGGGGAAGTATTAAAATTATAAAGAGGATATTACTCACATTCTTTTGAGCAGATATATACTGCTCACTATATGCGCTTGGGTGGTATGATCCCCACCTATGGATTCTTTAGGCTTCTTCTGAATATACGTAGTCAGGTGAAAGACAAGAAAAGAGAAAATGGCAATAAAGTGTTTTATGCCAAAAATTCTTTATTATAACGAAATAAAATAATATCTAAACGCGTTTCGCCACAGGGGCTTCTTCAAGTAGATAGCCCCTGTGGCGCTGTCAGTAGATGACATGCTGGCGGTACACAGACAGATACCACATGCGTCTAAAGATGGCGGCAGCCAGGCGTGACCAGCCTGTCCTGGCTCCCCAGGGTACAAGGATTCTGAATACTTACCACAGCCAGAGATCCAAGGAGCGATCCTCCAGTACTTAGCAGAGGTGAAATGCTTTCTGGCTGCAGAGATAGAGCGCTCAGCGAAGGAGGTAAAATCTGAAATTCAAGCATTGTGCCCCCCGGAATGTCGGATGGACCACGTGGTGACTGCACCCAACAAAGCAGCCACAGTAACATAACAGTGGCAGACAAGAGTGGCAGACCTGGCAACAAAAATGAAAGATGCCTAAATAATCTGCGGGTCAGAGGCCTGTCAGAGAGTGTGAGAGATGTGGACATATAATCAGTCCTTACCACGATTTTTAAAGCACAGCTACCCGATATACCAGACTACATATGGACAATAGACAGGGCACACAGAGCACTGCATGCCAGAGGCCCCACCAGCGGTCCACCTAGAGATGTAATAATGAGGTAGCATTTCTTTTCCACCAAAGAAGTTATTATAAAAAAGTAGCAGGAACCACGCTTACACCTATAAGGATCATCCACTACACCTATACCAAGATATTGCACCATCCACACTATCTCATAGGAGGGAATGGAAGCACATTGCTGATCTGGTACGTGCTAATGGATACAACTTCACCTGGGGACACCCCTTTAAAATGCCTGAGACCCACAGTCCTCCTGCCATCTGCAGACCCAAGGCCCTTCCTGTGGGACATTGGCATCAAGGTCCCAGAAGATTTTTGGATCCCCAGCAAGGGCCCCAGGGCACTTGGCTACCTGCTGAGAGATGAGGCCGACCACAGGGCAGTAGCCCCATAGACTGCCATGGCACAAGAGGGACTTTTGCAACCCTACAACATTCACTGTTGACAACCAGACACGCAAGTGACCAAAAGAATATGTTAAAACATTTAGAATGTTTAATGAGATCAATGTTTTACGGCCAGAGGCCAGACTGCCAATGCGCAGGAACAAATAGCCACATATATTAGCGCCCATGGGGCCGACAGCAAACCAAAGTGCAACCAGTACCACCCCCATCTCCTCAGAATTAGATGCCACAAGGCTCCATTCATCGCACTACCTAGCAGTATATGGACCCTTGGGCCACTGGACTGATATAACCTGACTACCCCTGCTGGGTCCAGAGACTAGGCATTAAGCATTTAGTAGGGGTATCCCCAGCCCCCCCATCCCCAATCACTCCCACAAAAACTGAGACAGCATGTAAGCATACAAGAAGTAATTGCTTAATTGCTAGACACAACAGAGCGATACTGAGTCCACCACACAGTTTCTACCCCAACTGCCAGAACACACCTAATATTTTTACTTTCAAACTCCTACCCCATCCCCAACCACTCCCACACAGGTCATATTGACCCCTCACTCCAACAACCTTATAAAACACAACCCTACATAGACTCTTCCCTCACCTCCCTCTCCATCCCCTACTATCACCCTCTCACCCAATCTTCTTCGCCCCCCTCTCCCCTCATTGCCTTTCCTGTCGGGGTGGGCAGCGGAACAGAGCGGCAGCGGAGGCAACAACCTCAGACAGGGAACCAAGACAAGGAAGCTTGACAGAGATATATCACATATCCAGGGGCCAGCAGACACGACTGAATTGCCACACTTAAATTCACATCGCTGAATGTCAACGTCAAAATGTACCAAACAAAATGACTACTACTAAGGGAAATAAAAAGACAAAATACAGACATAGCATTCGTGCAGGAGACACATCTGCTGCGCTCATCCCGGACTCAGCTAACTGACAATGTCTATACTAGAAACCTCCCGAGCCCATAGCAAGAAAAATGTAGTAGAAATACTTCCGCATAAAAGGTGTCTATTACAAGTACCAACCACTCAAACGAACGCAGACGGTAGATTTATACTCCTCACAGGGACAATCTAAACCACTACTTACCATCTGTTAAATATGTATGCATCCAATCAACCTGACCTCAACTTCTGGAAACAAATGGAGGAGTTAGTCGCTGCATTGCCACACTCGATTGTGATTATTGGGGGAGACCTAAATGCAACATCATGCCCAGCGGTGGACCGCAGCAGTAAATGAGGGGGTCAACAATCCCAGGGCAGAGGGGGTCAGGATCAACTTTTAGGAAGATTTATTTGTAACATGGGAGTATTGGATCCCTGGAGACTCCAACACCCGGGAACAGAAGATTATACTTTCTACTCGGCAGTCCACTCTATGTATTCGCGGATCAACTTATTTCTTGTCAATCAGGGGTGTTCCATGGGTTCATTCATCCCGCATTTCATCTCTTGGTTGGACCATGCCAACATAGAGCTCACGTTAACGTCTGCGGGGAGCTTATCCCCCATGGAAGTGAAGACTGAATGGTTCGCTTCTTAAAAATCAAGATATAGCAAAAAAGATACATACTGAACTCACCGACTACTTCCAAATGAACCAAACTCCCCATCTCACACACTCCACAGTTTGGGCGGCGCACAACGCTGTCATAAGAGGCTCATTGATCAAACTGGCTACGATCCGCAAGAAGGGCAGAGCAAAAACCCTGTTTGAGCTGCAAAAGGTGCTTAGGAAAAAAGAAATGCAACACAAGCAGAACCCCATGGCACCCAAGCTTCAGGAACTCACAGAGCTGAGACATAGGCTTAGGGAACTAGCGGTGGAGGAGGTGAGAAAAGATCTAATCTGATCAAAATGCCTATTCTATGAATGCTCAAACAAGATGGACACCCTGCTTGCGAGGGCTTTGAATCCTAAATCGAAATATAAAATGATAACGGCGATGAGAGACATCCACGGTAACATAGCCAACAACCCCACGGACATAAACAAAATCTTTACAGACTTCTTTAAAAAAGTATGTGATTACTTGCCAGAATTGAATGACATGAACAAGGCTTATCGCCAAGCGGTCCAGACATTTGTATCTGAAGCAGGGATGCGGACTCCGGGAGAGGACACACTGAGGGCACTAGGGTCCCCTATAGACGGAGATGAGGTGATCGAGCGATATCCACCCTCAAAGGAAACAAAGCCCCGTCGGCCGGATGGGTTTGAGGGGACATACTACAAGATACTGTGGGAGGCACTAGTACCCCACTTGGTGGCGGTCTTCGCAGAGTGGATGGAAGGGACGAGCCCAAATTCATAAAACCTTATGGCCGATATCACACTCATCCCTAAACCAGGTAAGAAGGACACCACTGCGGCAAATTACTAACCTATTTCCCTCATCAACTTCAATGTCAAACTGTTTGCAAAAATACTGGCATCTCGGCTAAACCTACTGCTGCCGACCATGATACATGCCGACCAGGTGGGCTTTGTGCCCACAAGTTAAACTCTACGAGAATACAAGATGAGGTGTGGACCTCATATGGTGGGCAAGGCGCCTTCTCTGGTCCTATACCTGGATGCGGAGAAGGCGTTCGACAGGGTCAAATGGCACTACCTGCTGCTGGAACATATAAGATTGCCAAAATCATTCATAAAGGGGATTTGGGCTCTGTACTCAGAACCAAAAGAACAGACAATTATGACGGGATCACTCCCTCTCCCATTCACGCACATAAATGGCATTAGGCAGGGATGCCTGCTCTCTCCCCTGCTGTTTATACTGGCACTAGCAGACAATGTGATGATAACACTGACGGATCCAAAGATATTGCTACCCCAACGGTTACAACTGCTGAACCACTATGGCCACGTTTCAGGTTTCACTATCAACCTGGATAAATCGTTAGTGATGCTTCTGGGGACGGAGCAAGAAGAGGTGGTCCTTCTAGAATCCACACACAGTATTACGACAACGACATCCTCCATTAAATACCTGGGCAAACTTGATGACGAAAAATACGCCCATACTCTAACGACATTCATGAAAGACTTAGCGAGATGGCATGACAAGCCAATTTCCTGGATAGGGAGGTTACATGCCATTAAAATGAACCTCCTACTGCGCCTACTCTACCTATTTCAGGCCTTAACCATTAGGTAAAATACACACATGAGGTCAAGCAATCCAATAATAAGACACCCCGAATGAGCCGTCCGGGCATGCAACGGGCCAATCCTCCTCACCTCCCCCTCTTGCCACCTTCTGCCAGTTTAGCTTTGCCCCTCTTACCCCCTCACCCCACACCCTACCTCCCTAAATAGAAGGCCCAGATTAAAAAGATAAAGACAACAAGCAGCAAACACACAACTAGGGTTAACAAACAAACAACAAAGAATTACCATCCAACATATGCAAGGGCCCTAGGAGACACAACAACTCCACCCACACCCCTCCCCTTTCCTTCATGACACATAATACATATTGTCAAACCTGGTTCACAAGGTACACACCAATAACTCCAAACATACTCCGAATTTCGACCCTCGCGACCCTAAGGTCAAATCAGCCAAGGGCAGTGAAACCAGCTACTAGGTGGAGGACCTCTAAAGATGTAGGGTAACCACCAATGCCATCACCATGTATGCTATATTGTATGTAATGTCTGGAATCTCTGTGTACCGACTGCCACAAAAAATAAAGAATAAAAAAAAAGGCAGACATGTAATCCCTCCACGACCAATACATTAACCTGTATAATATTCAAAAGAATGTTGCTGACATTTCAGCCATTTTCATTGATGATAAAAATACAAAACACCAAACACAATATCAATAGATGATCTAATCATCCAAATCCTAGATTTAATATGTTATGTCATAAATAGTAACAAAAGACAATCAAATTTTGATTTATTTTTGTTGAAGTGAAAATGAAATATGAATTGTTACATGTGTTTTAAAATTCCCACCATTTTTTTTGATAAATTATGCCTTTCATCTAAGTATAAGAATATAGAAAATTATGTTAGCTAATGTGTAAGCAAGCAAAAGAACATTTAAATACATAAATAGTAAAGATATAAAAAGTAGACTGCTCTGTTTGTTCATTCTTTCCCCAGAATTAATTTTACGGCCAAAACATAGCTTAAAGAAATTATTTGTAAAGCCATTTTTTATTTCCTAACATATACACATAAACTGCCAATAAAATAAATCATAATACAATGTTTTTTTTCTTGATATAAAGTCATGTATGAAATAATTTAATTGACATTTTAATGTATACTGTGACTTGTATCACTATCAACCCAAAACATCATCTAATATATGAAATATTATTCCTACATTTTCAAATAACAAAATAATGCACG